GCAGGAATGTGAAAATCAAGTTATTTTGACAAATGAAATTTTATTTAAAGTGATGTTATAGTACCAACTGTTCTAATAATGTGGGAGCTTTTCTGAAAGATTTAGTTCTTCTGAATTTAAATAGGAAAACAGCACACAATATTAGAATGTTCTGCAAATGAAATAGTCTTCAAGTCCAAAACACTAAGTTCACATTGGCAAACCTTTCAGGTTAGCGCTTTATACACCAAGCTAAACAATTCAACTGTTACTTTGTTGCATTGAGAAGTTTTAAAATTAAATGCTGCCATAACAATCTGGTTCTCTGAGGGCAAGAATGAGAAAAGCAGCATAAGACATCAGTTTACTTTGAACATGTGACATATCTGCATTGTGCCTCAAATACTTAAATTTTCATGTTAGTATTTTTACCTTTCACAAGCACAAATACTTGTCCTCTTAAAAAAAAAAAAAAAAATCTGCTCAAGGATTTTCAAGAGTAGTTCTTGATGTGTATAAACTTCCATGCCAGTGAGACCATTCATAATGGCTAAGCCAGTTCAGCTCCCCCCTCCACCCCAAATTCATGCACACAGAAAACTGCTTAAACATATAATAAATTATTATGACAGAGGAAAGACAAAACTATCCAGGTGTGGCAGCTTTAACCGACTGGCATGGTTTATATTTGATGAGTTATATGTACTGACATTTGTGTCTTCCAAAATTCATAAGGAGCAAACTGGGGTAATTTTCTATTAGTAACAAATTGTTCCTCCCCAAAGGTGGCTTGTACTGGAAGTTGCAGTGCCAATATCCTTAATTTAAAAAGACAGTGTCATCGACTTTTCTGTGTTTCACTCCTTTTTTATGAATACAGTCTTGACTTAAGGGAACCTAGCATATCTTGCTTTGTGCACCACCAATTTCAGGATATGAACTGACAAGTGCTCAGAACTGCTATTGCAGAGCTGGCAAAACAAGTTAAAACTTACAAGTGGTGACTTATTTTGCTAAAATAATTTCTTAAGTCTAGCAATTGTTTTAGGGTTAGCCCTCAAGACTAGTTGAGAATTTCCTCAATGTCCCTTTATTTCTGTATTGTTTTTAAATAATTGAGCAAGCGCTACTTCTGAATCACTAAAGAGGGAAGAATTTTGTTCAGATCTTATCTTTATAATTATGTTTAAAACATTTAAATTTATGCCACCAGAACCCTATCAGGCTTCCAAGATACCCCAATTAAAAAAAAGCCATTTGCTTACGTTATAATTTGAGTACAAGATGTAGTTGCTGGAAGAGACAAATGTTTGTTGACAGAAATTGTGAACCTCAATGCAATCTGAAAGTTTTACCTTGGAACTTTCTCTGCTTACTTAACCCTTAGTGAACTGCACCAACAAGAGCAGTCATTTCACTGCCACTACGGAAATAAAGGAAGTTAGACATCTCAGATGATCCTTCAACACCAAGATCAAAAAATTAGAAAAGTTTGGAATGCACAATTTCAAATGTTTAAGCCAACTTAGTTTAAAATCTAAGGACTAAATTTAAGCCCCAAATCTTGTTTTGATTCTTCTATAAACAGAGCAGAAAAAAGGGTAAGAAAAAACCCTCAGGGAAGGAAGTAGGTGACTGAGTTTAAGTATTTGTAGTTTGTTTTTCCTTAATGCACAATTACATCTTTCAAAGTCATTTTTATAAAAAGATAAAAGTTAAGCCCATTACTCAAATATGGAAGTTTTGCAATCCATTTTCACACCTCAGGACTCACATTTTAAGAAGCTAAAATTAAAGCCATAAACTAATAATATTCTATTCTGAAAATCATTTACTGAATATACAAGTATCGCTAACTTACTTTGTAATTTGACTATGGATACATTCAACTAGTTCTCTTTCAGAAGCTTTAACTAAAACCAAAAGGGTTATTAAAGCTTGGCTTAGTTTGATATGTACATTTTATTCAGTTAAGACTGAATTCTTAATTGACATGAGCTGTGCCTGGGTGGTCTCTGACCAGTGAATAACTTATGGCTCTTGCCACAATAAGAATAAAACCTTTAAAATGAATGCCGGTCCAGGCTTTCAGCAGCTAAGTCAGGATCTGAATCTCAATTTTTGTAAGTGAGATCCATTTAGTGATTAGTTAAGTGACACCCTCAGGTTTAACAGCATGCTATTATCACTTTCTGGTCAATTCACCTCAGAAGGAAGCATGGATTAAATTTAAGAATAATTAATTGACGCAATATCTTCAGTAGATTATTCCAAGGAAGTGGTCAGCAAGAGACCAATTTCAATCACTTGGGAAAAACTCAACATTTTGTAAAGTGTCAAACTAGATAAAATTAAAACTTTCTATAGTTATGCACAGATATAGCTGTTAAGAATTTCATAGTAGGTCATCTTTAAAGTGTTTTGTATACACCATTTGGAAGTTCAACAGTTAATTCTCTTAAAGATTAATAGAATTACATTGCAATATTTCAAAAAAGGGATTTTAATCTTGGTAGTGGCCAATTGGCAGTGAGAGCACTATTAAAAACATTTAATAAAGAGTTCCATGTGGCAGTTATAAGACCTAGCACACATTCTGGAATAAAGGTTTCAGAATGAGAAAGTTGCAGGGTACTGGATATATTTGTGTACAAACTTTAAACGCTATAAAATACTGCATGTCAATAGGTTGCTACTCATCACAGATCTCTGAATAGTCTGAGCATTTTGTAGAGTCATTTTGACAAAGCTTCAATGTGAACCTCAGAAGGGTATGTGAAAGCAAGGATAAGATTTAAATGATTACAAATTGTTTAGTTCTTCGAAAATTTACTAACGATGCCAAAGAAACTCCTACAGATTACAAAGCAGCTGATTATATACCTTATTTCAGAATATCACACTCCAAACACTTAATACCAGAAACAAACATTATGGAACAAACCAACAGCAAATAAGCCTTCAACTGATATACCGCAAGCCAGGATTTCTGCATAGAAAGAAGTACAAGTTCTAGAAAATGACAAATTATAACAAACTGACAAACTAGAGATCTATTCCCACCACCAAAAAACATTCTCCAACATTAGGAGTAGAACACACTTGCCTTGTGACACTTCTAGTATAAATAATTCAGATACATACTACAGAAACCCTCCCACTCCCAAAATATTCTATATACTCACCATTTGTAGAATTGCACCATATAAACGGAGAAGAATTTTTCGTGGCTCATCTGCAACTGTCTCCACGTTGTCAGGTAACGAACACTGGAACAGCATATTACTGAGGCCACCTCTATCAAAAGAAAGGTGATGTACATAAAGTTTATTGACTATCAGAAAGCTGTACATTCTTCTCTCAGTGAAGAACAGTGTCATGTTTTAGTATGTATTCCAAGGCTTTGTACGGTCAGATCTGGAATAACGATCTATTCAAACAGATCAAATTCAAATTCTTCTGCACATCATTAAATCAAATTGCCAAGAGAAAAGTTTTAAGACTGCTGATAAAATAGCTTGTCATAAAAAGCTGTATAGCTCATTTCTTCTTATCTTTATTTAAAGAGCACAAAAAAATGTAGATTTTTATTTAGGGGAAGAAAAAAAAAATAGATGTTTGACTTATTGCTGTCCAATTTTTCTGATGAAGTGTTACCCTGGAATCTAGCCTGAGGAATGAATGAAGACTTCAACACATTTTCAAAGACCACTTTATTATTTATGGAACAGCAACTATTTTGGGAACATGTTTTAATGAGCTTCTCCCACAGTAGCTGAAGTGATACAGATTCCAAGATGTACTCTTCTCTTCATAAACACTAATTCCCCAAAAGGATTAGCTTTCTGTAACATGTATTCACAGAAAAAAAGTTCAGTTTCATGCAAACTTAATTGTATACTATGCTCACTCCCTTTATTTTCATTTACCATCAGGTATTGAAGAACACCAACAATTAATGGGTTTAATTACAACCATGGTGCCTAACCTGTTCTGAAGCAGTAGCCACTATAGTGGCTTCTGCTACAGCAAACTAGTCATCCTGCTCTGTTGTCTCCCCCACTCCTCCCATCCCTGTTCAGCACGCCTATGGGTAATACACTTAAGATACGTGCAGTTCTGCTAACTCTGTCTACGACCCCTGCTCTGCAGAGATGGGGTGCAAGGGCAAGGGAACAGTCTGACTTCAGCACTCCATTGCACCTCCAACCCCACCCACCTGCAGAGCTAGCAGGGGAATCCTGGGAGCAACTTAGCTGCAGGATAGAGCAAGGTGGGAGGGAGTGGCAGCTGAATACACACTGCTGGCTCTAAGTATATCCTTCCACTAATCAACTGGGCAGGTGGGAGAGAAATGCTTAGCAGGCCAGATCTAGCCCCTAGGCCTGAGTTTGCCTACTCCTGAATTATGGATTGAACTCTAAACAGACTCTCTGGTCCAGAAGGACCATGCATATTCCAGGATCAGGGAGCCCAAGCACATGGAAGTGGGAATGACCAGTTTAGTAGGGAAGCAGGGGGACCAGCAGAGCAGCAGGGTTGGCAGCACAGGAGGAGCCAATAGTAGAGGGGCCAGATATGACCTCCCCAGTATGGCAAAATCCCTAATTCCAGGTCTAGTCAGGTTCAGAGGGTGCCGGACCAGGAAGGTCCAACCTGTAGTGTGATAGTTTGTCAGCTCACCCTGCTAACTGACTAGATTTACACAGTCTAACCTTCAGGAAGACAAACTTCTATAGGCATTCTACTAAAACATTGCTGGTATGCTATCTGGGTAAGATATTCAGGAAATCCTGTTCCAGGATTCTGCACAGTTACTTAAGTAAAGTGTTCCAGTAGTAGATTATAGTTAAGATGAGAGATAATCTAATTTTTTTAAACTGTTAGCATGCCATACACATTACTATGTTTTATTTTGCCTCCCACAGACTTCAGAGATCATTACTTAGTAATACTTGAAAGGTTTCTAGCTCTCCATTACTTTCTGGGGAAAAAGCTTATTTGTTCATCCCACGTTGTCTATTATATTGTTTTTCCACAACAGGTCTTCATTATTGCCCCCCATCTGCATTATTTGGCATTTCCCTTTACAGCAATGGGAAATAGCATAATACTGACGGGAATGTAAAGGTTAACTGTAACAGGAATTGTGGTAACATGGGCTCATCTTCCCAAAAATGGCCTGGATAAAGAAAAAGGCTAAAAGCTACATTTAATACTTCATGTCACTCAATTGGTGTAAAACAGTGCAAATTAAGTTAAACCAATACTTTCCTTTGGTGACCTCATGGCATGAGACTCTTTAAAAAGCTGCAGATCTTTCAGAGGCCCAAAAAGCTCAGATAGATCCTGTCATATTCCATTGCTCAGGTTTACCTTCAATGGGATCCTCAGTCTGACTGTCAGAGACCTATCAAGAAAAGCTGCATAGATCAGCCCTTCCTAAACTTATCTGCAGTGAGCTGGCTATAAACATGGTACTAGCTATTCATTTTCAGCTGCTTCTGCAGGTATCTATGCCCTTTGTGATGAACAATTAGGGATGTTAAGGACTAGTCAACTATCAGTTAAACAAATGCTTATCCGATAGTCAGCCAAGGAGTCGATCTTCCCCTCCCCCCTTACTGCCTCTTCAGATAGAGGCAGCAAATGGGGGGCGGGGGAGGAGGAAGAGTGGGTATTTCAAAGTAGCAGCACTGCAGCAACACTACAGTGCATAGTGCTCTGGGTCAGCTGGGGCATTTCCATGGGATCCCGGGTTCTGCTGAAATGCTGTCCAGAGCCAGAATCAGCTGGGGACTCCCCAACTGACACTAGCTCCATGTGGAATTTCAAAGCGGCAGCACAGCATGGAGACCAGGGTCAGCAAGGGACTCTGAGTCCCACACAGACTCTGGGCTCCATGCTGCGCTTCTGCAATGAAATGCACAAGAGACCCCCGGTTACTCTTGTACATTTCAAAGCTGGCACACCACATGCAGCCCAGAGTCAGTAGGACTTCTAGCTGGCCTCATGCTGCACACAGAGTTCCGCATTCTTACTTTGAAATGTACAGGAGCCCACACTGGGAAGAATGAGGAAGTGCCTATCAACTAGTCGATAGAAATTCCATCGACTACTCTACTAGTAAAATAACAGTTACTTAAGAACAGTAAGAATGCAATGAAGAAAACAGGAGCCATCTTGTGGGGCTGCCAGCTACATATGAGGAAACCTCAGCAGTCCTTTAGAATCAGAACAATCTGTAGGAAAGGAATATCCAAGGAAACATGGTACAAAGATGGTATATTTAAAGAAGAGGATTGCGTTGTCTGTTAACTATCCAGAGAAGTATGGGGGAGGAAGACAAGGCAGATAAGCAGGCGGAAAAAAGTAATAGATAAAGGATATCAAATAAAGAGCAAAAATAGACCATGCAGAGTCATGCCTACGACACTAGAGCAACCTACATCTCCAACTACCATTTAGCATAGAATTTCCAATGGTTAATGTTTACTTCCCTTGTAAAGCTCTTGAGAAGACGACAGTCTGTTTAGTGGTAGTGGGATAAAGAGTCCTTTCTAATTAATTCTAGAACACACAAAACCAGGATGAACAGATTTTGAAGTGTATTAGTCTGGGTCATTACTTATGACACTGCATCAAGATTTAGGAATCTGTGTTACCCCCCTTTACTTTAAGCTGAACTCAACTATGTATTGAAAGGGCAACAGCATTATGCACTTCATCTTTCAAAGATGAAGGCACACCATACAGGAAAACAATAAAAACTATGCTCACAACACAAGTCATTTGAAGTTATGGTTACAATTATTGCATACAATACCAAGGAAACTATGGAAAAAAGTGAAAAGTCAACAAGACTCAGTTAATCTGCCTCTTTGGCAAGGTACAATTTGGCACAAACAGGAACTCAAGTAGAGAGAGGTCTAATAGCGAGTAGAGTGGCATGCCATAATGCCACCTCTGCTGCTGATCAATGGCCACAAATGGAACACCTTCTTTCAACTACCCACTAGTTCAAGGCCACTAGTTCAAGGCCAATACCAAAAATGAAAGAGGATAATTCATAATGCTGAAAGGCCTTACGAATTATCAATCTTTCTGCACATATTTTCCAAAAAGCAAAAATAGCAGATTGTTAAGTTTTCACATTTAACAGGGTTCTGAGCAGCTATGCAAACAGCGATAACAGTGTTTTCCATTCTGCTATCAATTCACACTATTCTGACCACCTTAACAAGATCTACAAGTTTTCCAGTTATTAGCATGAGTGCCCAATATTCTTAAGCTAAGGCTCAGTGAATCAAGAATCACAGCCCTAAGAGGGCAAGAGGTTCTGTGGCAGTAGAGTACAATTGCTGTCAAGCAAAATGCAACAGTTTAAGGTAATGTTGTAGCAAGAAGGGAGCACAGCCCCCTAATATCCCCAGAGGGAGGGGGGGGTTGGCAAGTGTAGTATGCAGCCCTGACCTGCCTCCCCCCACCCCAGCCACTGGGCTAAGATTGGGCCAGCCCTGGCTCTCACCCTGGCCATAAGAGAGGGGGGGAGGGAGGGAGGGAGAGAAGAAGAGGTCAGGGGGAGGCTGCAGCACACCAGCCCCAGCTCTGGAAAGGAGGCAGGTCGGACAAAGTGATATAGCTCCCCAAAAGAACTGACTCCCACCTCTCCTGCCCCTCTTCCCCCACAAATATGTAATGCTGAATTTTTTAGCCATTACATGTTTATACAAATGCATTTTAACATTCATAGTGCTCAATGACTTCTGTTTCAGTTTTCACCAAGAAGGCTGTTGATGATTGGACATCTGACCTAGCGAATTCCAGTGAAAAGAGTAGGTTTCAGAAGCTAGAATAAAGCTAGGGAAAGGACAGGTTTAAAAATTTATATGGGTCAGATGTAAACAAAGGGGAAAGGAGTCCAAGACAGCTAGCAGTATTTTAAAGAAACCTTATTGAAGGCACAGAAAGAAGCCATCCCTACGCGTATCAAGAGAGGCAAACATGGTAAGAGACCGGATTGGCTTACAGGGGAAATCCTTGGTGAACTTAAGCACAAAAAGGAAGCTTACAAAAAGTGGAAGCTTGGACAATGACCAGGGAGGGGTTTAAATGTATAGCTCGAGAATGCTGGGGGGTTATCAGGAAGGCGAAAGCGCAAATGGAATTGCGACTGGCTAAGGATGTGAAAGAAACAAGAAAGGTTTCTACAGGTATGTTAACAAGAAGAAGGGGATCAGAGGGTGTGCGGCCACTAATGGATGAAGGAGGGAACTTAGTGATAGATGACGTGGGGAAAGTTCAAGTACTCAATGCTTT